TCCAAATGAGACATACACAGCCAGATGAAGGTGAGCAGTTCTCCACCCTTACTTGGTTGTTGTGCATGCACATTTGGCTTACAATTAGCCGCAGCGTAACAGATTAGTTCCACCCAAACCCAGTTTATTCTCTCCCAGGGATAACCATCTGTTCGCTTGAGATGGGTAGCGAGCTCTCGAGCTGCAAATAACACAGATCTTTTTCCATCATCTCTACTAGTCAACTGATAGTCAGCATCAAAGTCACCCCCAAACTCAACTTTTTTGGCCAACTCGTCAAAGTCAGTTGAAAGGATTTTTCTGCTGGCATCCTTTTCATTTAAGACTGAACTCCGGCTTAGAAATGACTCGGTTTCTGCATATGTGTCATCGAATACTTTTTTCCAGTCGTTCAGCACACTTGCCATCATAGCAGGCTTCATCATTAGAAGGTTGAACATATAATCTGAAAGTAGCTTGCATATTGCTCTATGATCATTACTTCCTGTTGAAGAGCATTGTTCATCTTCTCCTCGGAAGGATAATTCTGTGGCTATATGCCATGTTAGAAGGATTTGTGTGTAATCAGACTCCTTGATGATCCTTTCAACAGGGCCCAAAATTGAAAACTCTTCAAGAATTTTGAAGCTTCTTTCAAACCAAACTTCCTTGATTCGTGGTACTGTCTTGCAAAAATTTATCACTTCCTCAAAAATGAAGCGCCAATGTGGGTCTTCTTTAAAATTTTGGGAGGACTGACATCGGATTCCTTTTATGGCTTCTAACAAACTCTTCAGGAGAAGAAATTCTGCCATTTTTTTCAACCAATGTGGATTATCCTTCACAAGATAAGTAATAAAATTCAACTGCAGAACTTCATTAGACCATCTGTGCCGGTTGATAAATTTGTTGATGTTGATAAATCTAGTAATGAATTTGGGGAGGGATCCGGATTCCATAATATGGAAGTGAGCAACAGCAAACCAATCAGAGAAAACAAGTAATATGACAGATATGAAATCCAATGCCAAGGCCCCAATCAACAATCCAAAGGTTAGCCACGTATCAAACTCCTCCAGCTTGTAGTGCTTCTTAACTAATGAGAATGACAGCAAGGCTCCCAAGATGCAAACCAAGTTCAAGATGCGACATACACATCCAATCTTGGAAACAACCACAGGCAACTTGGTGTGGAGTACCTCATACAAGAGGCTCAGCTCAATCTCCAACTTTCGGAGTGCATTTTCTGCAGCACGATCTGTATTTCTGCTTAGAAAGTTTGCAAAACTCTTAGCAGTTTGTTGTCTAGATTGAACTGGGCCAAGAAGTAGATTCTTGATAGATCCAAACAAGTAAACTGCTGCTTGTAATATCGACTTAGGATCAGAATCTACAAGAAAGCTGTCCATATGAATGTCAATATCTACTGGTAATATTCGTGGTAGATGATCTGCAGTTCCCAAGTTTTGGAATTGCACTGGAATGGGGAGTCCGGCTGCCCAATCTCTAGGCACCCAACTACTTCCAAAACGCTCAAAGCTTGCAAGAAAAAAAGCATAGTTCCGCTCTGCATATTTGATTATGCCTGATAATAACACTAGGAGGGTTGAGAGCCAAAGCTTGTTTTGTGAGAAAGACTGAAGGATAAAATATATAGTTGATCCAACCTGTAACAAAAGCCCAAGCAAGTGTCTAAGCCATAACTCATTATCCTCCAGAGAGTAGGAGGTGATGCTGTCAGGGCCACCAAGATGCAACAAAAGAAAGGGTGCCCATAAAACCAGGATGTCACTACTTCCAGTACGTAAGATGAGTCCAATAGTAAATGTAGCAACCCAGTCTGCAAGCAAGTATGCCACCCATATCATGGCAACCCATTTCCCCCCTCTTTTTTTCCTCATGGACGCAAACAGAACTAAAAAAGACTGCACCAAGAGACTTAGAATAATCAGTCCTCTAATATTCCATGTATCCCATAGCTTCTTGATGCTTTCAGCATCTAAGAACACCATCTTCTTTAGTTTGTTTTGCTTACTTTCAAACTAAAGTTTTTCCAACTTTAGTAAGTACCTAGATCCACCTTGAGTCCAGTACAAAAGTAACCTTCCAGATTGTATATCCTACATGATAGATTATAGTTTCAATCTTTCAGAATGAAATATTATATATGACAGGTTTTGGGATGTGAAGTTAAAGGAGTGTGTTCGGTTTGGAGGATCAAATCATGAAAACAAATCAAAACTAAAAAAAGAAACAGAGTAACCTGACAAGCTAGGATTGAGGAGATAATAAGGTTGATTATTTAATTCTTGATTAAGGTTTAATTAATTTTCTCATTAGATACAAGTTTAGTATTAAAAAAATTCTAAGCCAAACTCCAGCTTGCTCCTTGATGTTTAGTTTTGAACAACCCAAGTACGAGTTTAGCCTAGTTTTTGTGTTATGCTGTTGCAGTCAAGCTTGAGCCTGAAAAACATACTCGATATACACACTTTGTATTTATAAACCTTAATTTTGGTATATGGTGATGAACCTAGCTACAATGACATATAGAATCATTAACAAAAATGAGAAAAGCTTAATACATTTGACTGCAAAACAATTAGCTACAAGACTGATTCCTAGAAGTAGAATAGAGAAAAGCTGCCATGGTTAACGAAAATTAAGAATCAGAAGAAAACATTCCCAATATAATATAATTTAAAATTTTTCAAAATCAATAAAATTTACCCTAAATGAGAAATTATATATATGTTATCAAGAAATTTACATGACAAGTTAGGATAACAATAAAAAAAAAAGAAGAAAAAAGCGCATACAGTAAGTGAGAAAATTATGGTAAGAGCTGTTGAGTAGAGCATATATGATCAAGTATTACTCACCGAGCGACTGGCAAAAGGAGGAGAGAAGACAAAGTTGGCTGTGAGAGAGGAAAGCAGTATAGGATGTAGGAACTGGCAAAGACCAAAATGCTATTATCTGGTATTCTTTGCCTCTTTCACAAACAAAGAAATCTGGTATTCTTTGCTTCCTTCACAAAAAAAGAAAAGCATACAAATCTTTATTATATAAAGATAAAGTGGGAAGGCATTATATAAAAACCAATTATATAAAAATATATAATGGGTTTTTGAATTTAAATATCAATATTTAATAAAATAATTTTTAAATTTTTAATTGAATTTCAATTAAACAAAATGATATAATTTAATATTAAAACTTTAATTATTTTTAAACAGCAAAATTGATATGTATTTTTTTTTTATAATAATACTTTTTTATTTTAAAATAATAAATAATAAATAAAT